TTCATACAGCGGTAATCCAAATGAATTAATCCTGAGTCCAATAACCATCAAAGTCACTCCAATAGTGCTCCTTAATTACGCTTTCATCTTCCTTTAACAAAATACTTCACATTCATCCAGTTTGTGACAGTAGTTGTAGCATTTTTGAGACTTTTAAACTTGAATTACTGCTGTTGCGCCCCCCCCCCCCCCCCCCCTTGTGTGTGTGTGTGTGTGTGTGAGGGGGGAGGGGCGCAACTTCCAACAGGAGTCTTGGGAAAAAAGGTTGGGAACCACTGGATTAGAAGATTCATACCACCTTCATGTAAGTATTCTGACAGGTCTGCCAGGTCTCTCTTGAAAAGGAGATCGATGATCTCAATGAGACCACCTGGTTAAATAAAGGTTTTTTTAAAAAAAATCTAACTTTAAAGTTAAAGCTGGAAAAAAGAAGGATCATGCTGAAATGTAGAATTAGCTGCACAAGCATAAAGCAAACCTTGAGACTCATCCAAGATCTCATAGTGATCTATGTGAGGGTGGCTCGAAAAGTTTCACAACACTACCAGGATGAATAAAAGGGGGCTCTAAGGAGAGTATTGGCAACATCTTCATGTTTACTGAATGCAAGTATGGGTGTTATACCTTGAAATATCAGCCAGTTAGAGGCAACATTTTTGTAAGGGCACATAACAAAAACTAAGAATACGTTTTGTAACACATGACCTTAGTGTTAGTGCACCAGAGTCAAGCAGCCTACATTGAATGATTTTCCAAAGACCCCTTTAATATAAAAATATTTCCGAAAACCCTTTTTACATGTTTTTGATGTAATAATTATGACAGTTATTGTGCTTATAATTCTGCTATAACTTGCTTTACTTTTGAGTGTTTCATATGTTTCTGCTTGAAGGTTTCTGCTCAAAGACGTTTATATATTTCTAAAATATCTATATTATATATATGGTCATTGGCAATTTTTTGGCATGTGATTATTTTTCCATGATGTCTATCCATTACACTCTTAGTTGTGTACTTTTCACAACATTGAAGGAGTGTTTTACATAGCTTGCAAAAGTGTGTGCCTGTGTGTACACACTCATTATGTGTGCATACCTGGGCAGCATCGTTACACAAACAAATGGAACATAAAACTATGTTATATTCTACGCTACGGGACAGAAAACGTGGAGTGGATTTCAGCCTACTTCTTCCTCTACAAAGCACCATCAAGCCTCAAAATAGAACTATTTAATACACAATCCCTCACTAATAAATCATGTCTCATACATGATCACATCCTAGATAGGGGGATTGATTTAATGTGTCTTACTGAGACCTGGCATCAGCCAGAGGCCTTTTCAGTCCTAAATGAAACCTGTCCTGGCTATAATTACCTGGAGAAAGCCCGCCGCACTGGTCGCGGTGGAGGCTTAGCCGTAATACACCGCAGTGACCTGAAACTGACCCCCTTGTCTCTTCCTGACCTATCTTCCTTTGAATGCCTCGCATTCAAATGCAAACCCCCTTTCCCCATGACTATTATTCACATCTACCGGCCACCCAAACCAAACCCAGCCTTCATCTCAGAGATAAATGAACTTCTCTCTTCAGTCTGTACCACGTCTGCAAATACTGGGGGATTTGAACATCCATGTTGACACCCCCTCCCACCAACCTGCAGCTGAATTATTGCAACTACTGGATGTTCTCAACCTCAAACAGCATGTTGATGTCCCCACACACACCAGGGGGCACACGCTTGACCTGGTTATCACTGACTCGGCCCCCATCACAAATCTGTTGGTGTACGATCTGGGAGTGTCGGATCACAAGGTTGAAACAATGGAGTTCAAATTGTCTCACCACATAAAGCCCAAACGTAAAATCTATTTCAGAAATCTGAAACACATTGACACAGACATCATGACTTTGGACCTGCAGCAAATCCCCCCCTCTGCAAATGTCACTACAGTCAGTGAATCAGTGGAATACTACAACAAAACCCTGAGCACTGTCCTGGATCTCCACGCCCCACTGAAATCACGAACAGTCAGCTTCTCCCGCTCAGCCCCTTGGTTCACTTCAGAGTTGCGTAGCATGAAGGCAGCTGGGCGTGTACTCGAGCGGCGTCTCGCACGATCTGGACTCACTGTTCATAGATTAGCCTATCAGGAACATCAAAAAAACCTACTCAAAGTCACTCAAAAAAGCATGGTCACAATTCTACTCCAACATCATCAGTAAAAATCCTGGAAACTCCAAGCAGCTTTTCTCTACTGTTGATCATCTCCTCAAGCCACAAACTCCCTCACACATCGACACTACAGAAGAGCAGTGCAATAACTTTGTTACTTTCTCCAGGACAAAAGTTGCCACTATTCGCTCTCTTCTCTCCACCCCTTGCACTGTGTCTGACCCTCCACCTGCACACTAGACCCTCTACCCACAGCCCTTGTAAAATCGAACATCTCGGCTATAAGTCACATGATCACCTACGTCAGGGGTAGGCAAGTAAGTTTGGCCGTGGGCCAATTTTTTTCTGAGCCACAAGATGGCGGGCCAGAACATAATCAAAGCCTAATTCAAGGAATTTATTTTGGCAAGAGGGCGCAGCGCCCCTGTTCCCCGGTTCAGAAAAAAACTCTGATATCGCTGATGACCCTCCCCATCAACACTCTGATGCGCAGTCAGATCCGCTGATTGGTTCACTGATGATAGAGGCGCCCAATCTAGAGCCTCTGGCTAGACCCGTCCAAAGGGAGACTCGTCATCTCTAGCCCCATTTCAGTCCCATGTTAAAAGCCAGGTCTATTATCTGTATTTTAACAGACTTATCTTTTAAATTGAGGTGTAGCCTATTTATTGTTCTCTTCAAAGTTTATTTTTCACTGAAATTTTAGGGAGGATGGTCCTACCTTTCCTCAATGGACGAGCATCCACTGAGTAAAGTAGAGTTATTAACTAGGTAGCAGTGTTATTTAACATACTTTTATTGTCAAGTATTGTCAAGTTCTCTGGGTTTTTGGCATTTATTTGATAGTTTGCCCACATTTGAGAGGCTTGAGGGGCAACAAAGGACGTATGGACAACTGGAATCCTTTTTCCTTTTCTTTATTTCAACTTTTCAAGGACACATTAGGATTCTTTCAGATTGAAAACCTTTAAAAAAAAAAAAAATTACAGCATGTTTTGCTTTGCAATTTAATATATTATAACAAGGGCCGGGACTTTAACGCGTTAATTAAGATTAATTAATTACATAAAAATGAACGCGTTAAAAAAATTAACGCATTTTAATCGCACTTATTTTTGCACCGCGGAACGTTTCTCACTGGATGAGTTTCAGGCGTACCGATTATACTGGAGCACCAACTAACGTTCATGACTTCAGACAACAACAAACCACAGTGAACAAGTGGGAAATGTTGTTTTAAAAAACGGACGGATGGAAGCGTCGATAAGAGCACGGTTGTGTGCAAATTATGCAAAAAGGAATTCGCATATCATCGCAGCACATCAAGCCTCAAGTATCACCTCAATGCAAAACATATAGCAGCTAGCGTGGACGTTAGCCTCTTTTATCGCGTTCACACCAAAAAGAGCCGGTACTAAAATTAGTTCATGAGAACCTTTTTACCCCCACGAAAGTCCCTGCTAGAGAGCAGGGACTTTCGTACGGCTCTCTTGTGAGAAAAGAGCTATATTTCTGATTGGCTGGGCGGATTGCAAACCACGCCCCGTAAAACTCCCAAAAAGTTTTGTGAAGCCGCCATTTTATTATCCTCGCATTAGCATTATTAGCATTAGCCCAGCGCAGAAACGCAGAGAGACTAACTTATGGCAACACAAAATAAAACATGGGAGCGGTGGAGATGAGGAGGTGTCGGCGTTCTGGCGATTTACTCAGAAGGCTGCTGGGACTCCCAGTAGCTTCTACTGAAGCCAGTCCCCAACTCCGGGGACTTCCGGCCGGGGACTCCGGGCGGCAGTATACACCGTGAAGTGGTTTGCGGCCTGCCAGTAAACCCAAAGCAGAAGAAGAAGAAGTGACGTCAGCGGCTTAATTTGCCTAATCCACCCCCAGGTTCAAAGAGTTCTCATGAACTAAGTTCTCATGAACCTTTGTGGGAAAAGTACTGCGGTGTGAATGCGCCTAATGGTATACTAAAATCCATGTGAAAAAAATTGCTTCTCACTGTTCTTAGGTCAAATATGTATATGTGATTAAAAATGCGATTAATTTCGATTAATTAATTAAAGCCTCGAATTAATTAGATTAATTTTTTTAATCGAGTCCCGGCCCTAATATATATATATATATATATATAACCTAAATTAATCAGTAACCAAGTATTTTACTCAAACTCAATGTATTTAATAGTTAAATAAGTACTTTAATTGACCTGGTTCCCCAAAACCACACATTTGCTTTATGTGACCCGCTCTATCGAAATCAGTCGGAAGTCGCAACGGCTCATTTCAAAATAAACGTGGATTTGCGTAAAAAAACTAGTTTTTCGGGGTTCGGGTGTTTTGTTTGATTTTAAATAAACAAAGTCTTGGCTTTCATAATATGAAACTTGTATTTCCAAAATCACATGATAAATACATTTTTGAAGCTTGTAAAGGGAAGATGACATTATGAATGTAGGCATATAGTAATCATTGATAACACGGCAGGGTCCGTTACAGTTTGTTTTCATCTGATTTCAAATAAAAAAAGTATTGGCTTTCAGAATATAAAACTTGTTCCGGCAAATTCAGATGATAACTATAACTTTGAAGCTTGTAACGGCATAATTACAATCGGAGAACGGAGTAACTTGACGTCACAGCAGGCATAACAACAGCCGGTGTTTCTTGTGAGTGTTTTCCCCGAGAAACAAACAATACACACAAATGCAAAAATACACACACACACACACACACACACACACACACACACACACACACACACACACACACACACACACACACACACTCGCAAGCTTCCCCCAGACCAGTAATCCAAAGCAGTAATGTCACTCTCCAAAGGTCTAAAGAGGAAAGTTGACGGTGAAAACAGGGCATTTAAAGAGGACTGGACAGCGAACTATGCGTTCATCCTACCTGATTTCATCAATACAAAGCCTTTGTGTCTTATCTGCAATGAAGTTGTGGCTGCTTGCAAAGAATACAATATTAAGCGGCACCACGAGACGAAGCATGACACCTTCAAAGTGGCATTTCCACCCAAGACAGAGGCACGAAAGCGCAAGATTGAAGCACTGACAGCAGGTTATGCGCACAGCAGCAGGATCCTGGTGCGAGGCCTCACAGCCCAACAGAAAGTGACAACTGCGTCCCTAAAGGCGTTGCGGGTGCTCGCAAAGCACAACCGGCCATTCACTGATGCAGAGGATTTCAAGGAGGTGATGGTGACCGTTTTGGAGGAACTGGCCACCGACAAGTCCATGGATGGTGTCATTGTGTCAGTGAAACAGGTGTCCCTCTCTGCGAGGTCTGCTATACGCCGCATAGAAGCACTGTCGGACGCTGTGCAGGGGGTAATTATCAAGGGTCTCAGTCAAGCCAATTACTTTTCCTTAGCCATTGACGAGAGCACTGACAGTACAGATGTAGCCCAGAACGCGTCTATGTTAGATATTTTGATGGAAAGGAGTTCAGGGAAGAGCTGCTGTCTCTTATTCCATTAGAAGGGCACACCACTGGGGACGTTATATTTACGAAACTGGAAGAGTTGTTTAGGCTGCATTCATTGTCATTTGAGAGGGTTAACCTAATCGTGACAGACGGGGCTCCTGCTATGGTGGGAAAGCACAGAGGTCTGGTAAGCAGGTTGAAGGAGCACGCCCCCCAAATGCATGGACTGCACTGTCTCATCCACCAGAGTGTCCTTTGCGTCAAACTCAGTGGTGAGCTAAAGGAAGTTATGGACAAAGTGATGCGTGTCATTAATTTTGTCAGGGGTACATCAAGCACCCAGCATCGGCTTTTCCGACAACTTGTGGCTGAGTCAGAAGTGGCCACCCACGATGACCTGCTGCTTCACAATGACGTGCGCTGGTTGAGCAAAGGGAAAGCGTTGGACCGCTTCTGTGCGCTACTGGATGAGGTCAAGGCGTTTCTTAGATTGAGCAAGATTAGGGCAGCAGCTGACCACCTTGCCCTTCTGGGAGACGAAAAGTTCATGTCCAATGTAGCATTTTTAGCGGATATATTTGGCCACCTAAACCAGCTTAACCTGCAGCTACAGGGGAGAGGCAAAACCATAGTGGACATGGTTGAAAAGCTCGAATCCTTCACAAGGAAGCTGGAGTTGTTCGAGTCAGACATATCCACTGGCAGGCTCCTCCATTTCAGTACACTAAAATCACAGGCACTGGGACAAGTGACAGAGCTGATGGTAGACTTCATCAAGCAGCTACGGGCCAACTTCACGTCAAGGTTTGAGGACTACTCCATCCCAAAAGACATCATTGTCTTTGTACGCGATCCTCTCACAGTCCGACCAAGTGGAGACTTCACCTCCCAGGCGAAACAAATGATACCCTCCTTAGACGAGGCTGCATTAGAAATGGAGCTAATTGATTTTCAAATAAACTCCCTGATCAGCGATGCGCTCAGAAGTGCGGAGTCTGTGAGTGCCTTTTGGGCGGGAAGCTCAGAGGAGTATAGCACGATCAAGAGACTCACATTTCATGTGCTCACAATGTTCCCTTCCACCTATACATGCGAGTCGTCCTTTTCTTCAATGAATGCGATAAAGACGCACGAGAGGAATCGATTGACGCATAAACACCTCGAGAACTGCCTGCGGATTAAAGTGACGTCCATATCACCAGATATCCAAAAAATAGCGACCAATGGGAGATGTCAGTTTTCACATTAAGTGAGTACCAAGCCTGTCGTAATTGTATTTAACCAGTTAAGCCCGAAGGTCCCCCCAGTGGACCCCTCCCACAGTTTTTTTTTTCTCACATGTCTCAGGGCTTCTTAACATTTATGAAACTATTAATGTTTCATACCCTTTTAAAGGTAAGAAACTCCGCTAACTGAGAATAAGAACAATTGTTAGCTAAAAAAAACACAAGAGTAATACCAAGCCTTTGAATTAGCATTGAGCGAAAAAATGCTAACTAATGCTAATGCTTTTTTACACACAACACACGGTAGAAATGCCCTTATTACTATCTTAACTGCACAAACAAGATATACGATTTAAAGCTGAGACTCCACAGATTCCACACATGTAATGTCATCACTGTCCGACCTCGAATTCCTGGAGCTATCAGCCAGAAAAGAGAAAGTAAACAACATCCGGTTCCAAAAATATTACAATAATTACGTCTTACCTTTTTTGATTTGTGATCAAAAGTTGTGTTCAACGGAATAAAAACGCATCTCAAGATTAATCCAATGTCTTTGTGTCACGTATAATTTTTTACTGATAATCAATCATCATATTTATGGCAATATACTCGGTATAAAGTATTGCCGTCCAGGCTTGCAGGCTTTCAGATATGCTTCGTTTGCTTCTCTATTACGTCCGCTATGGTAATGTTTACGTAGATTTGGGAACTGCCCATCGATTCTATTGGTTCTGATGGTTAAGAAAAAGGTGTAAATCACACGAATCGACCAATGGGTTCCAGAGATATGGTCCTGCGTAAATTATAAAGAATGGCAGCCAACTTAAGTACATTACGCAGCCGACTTCATTTATTGTTTACAACGTAACGAAGCAGGAAATGCAGCAGGACCCAGAGCGCACGGAGCACAGAGCGGACAGCAGATAACGGAATTGCAGTTTTATTGCTTATAGATTATCAGAACATTTCAAAGGGGACACAGCCCCATTGGATATTAATCTATGGATTAACTACATCATCGTTTTTATCGTTTTAATGCCATTGAAGACCAGTTTAGACCAGACAACGAGGAAGGTAAGTCATTGTTAGCCTAGCGCATTAGCGCTAGCGCCATTTGTTTTGATGTACGTTTTTGTTGATAACGTCGCAAGTTTGTATCTTTCAGTGTTGGGCTGTTCAGGTGGTGTTAGAGTTTATTGAAGGATAAAAGTGTTTTCATAAATGTGTTTTCATAACTGTGTTTTCATAATGTGTTCTCATAAAATGTGTTAATGGAGGAACAGAGAATAGTCTGTTCCGTGGACCATACACACACACACACCCACATGACTGAGAGTCACAAGATTCACACTAACAAATAAGGCGTTGGTCAACACCACATGATTGTCATGTTACTGTATTGTTGAAATAAAAAGAATGCAATGGGAGAAGGCGAGCGGAGTTGGTTAAGGAGTGGACATGGCATGTCACTCGCCGATTCTCCTTGCAGCAAGTAAACTTGAAACTCGAGTATCTGTTATCTTTGTTCACTGGATTTTGGTTATTGGACCGAGCTGGGGTTTACCCTTACAAAGTAATATAGAAATACCCCACATTAATTGGTCCTTCGGAGCCGGATTCCAATACATCGTGACGGGAAGGAGGAGGGAAAAGACACGCCGCAAGTCTGTCGACAGCCGGGATCATCAGCCGACCCCGAGAAAGACCCGGGACGCAGAATTCGTGTCCGGGCCGGTGCTTATATGTCCAACCTCCCTCATCCTAGGCACGATTGACGGAATTCAACCGGACCAGTGACCACAGATAACGGGTAAGATAAAACGTTGATATACACGGTTACTCCGCCATTAAGGAGGTTGATAAAACGTTGATATACACGGTTACTCCGCCATTAAGGAGGTTGATAAAACGTTGATATACACGGTTACTCCGCCATTAAGGAGGTTGATAAAACGTTAATAGAGAAAGGCTACTCCGCCATTAAGGAGGTTGATAAAACGTTGATAGAGAAAGGCTACTCCGCCATTAAGGAGGTTGATAAAACGTTGATAGAGAAAGGCTACTCCGCCTAGGAGGAGGATCGACGTGCCTTTGGGTACACTTATGAGTGATTGAGTGAAAGCAGTGTGTAAAAGTGTCACCAGTGGAATCAGCGCACAGAGTGGAAACCTAACGGTGATAACACAAACTCTGTGGTCTGTTGAAGTACACTAGTGGTGAATTAGGAATTATGTTCTGACCGGCACGTTGTCCAGTAGGAACACCAAGCTAGAATCATGGGGTCCAATGGGAGTAAGCCTGCCGCTACAGGGGACATGAGATATATGGAAATATATAGTCATGGCAGCACCAGTTATTGTAGCAAATGGTATAAATTGTACGGCTTCCGAGGAAAGTTGGAGAAAACAGCAGTAAGAGAATTAAGCGACAAATTGAGAGCAGCAACAGCTGGAACAACACAAGACAAGAAAAGAAAGAAGTTAGAAGCTCAACTGCGGGTTGCAGCTTTATGGGCTGAACAAGCCCATAAAAGGACAGGTGGAGCAGAAGAAGGTATGATAGCAGCGGCTGTTTCAGTGAAAGCAGACGAGGAGACAGGGCGTTCAGGGTCAGTTGACGCTGTACGCCGCGAGAAAGAGAGAGCGATAGTGGAAGAACACAAAGCGCAGGAACAAAGAATAAAAAGGAAGCAAGAGAAAGAGAGAAAAGACAGGGAAAGAGAGACACAAAAACGCATCGACAAAGAAATGGCAGATGCATTAAGCCCACTGCACACCAGAAAAAATAAGGGGGAAACCAAGTTATATCCTGTTGAAGAATTAAGAGAAGCAGAACAATCCTTCGACGGAACAGCATATCAGGGTGACGCTTATCCATTAGTACAAGTGGCCAACCCGCACTATGGAGTTGACGAGGACCGAGAAAGAATGTTAAGAGTGTTCCGCCCATGGACAATGGATGAGTGTAAAAAGGCTTGTGAGGGACTGACTCCATACAAACAGGACCCGGCGCAGTTTGTCCTTGACCATACTGCATTAATAGCGTCATATGGTTTAAATGGACATGAAGTTTTAAGAACCCTTATGACAATCTTTGGCCACGAATGGGCCAGGGTAAAGGGAGATTTCACCGGGTCATGGCCCAATGGAAACCCGCTGGAACCAGGTCAGCAGGACCTCATAAATGCACTCGCTCCCGTAAATATCTCAATCGAGAGGGTTTTTGCACTGAGACGAGACTTTACTAAAGTCTCAGAGTGTAGACAGGGAGAAAAAGAGTTAGTACAAGATTTCAGAATCAGAATGGAAGATTGTTTCCGTATCCATAGCGGAATTCCACCCAGCAATGCTGTTGACTCCCCATATGTGCAGCAGCTGAAACAAAGCCTGATGAATGGGTTCCACCCAGGTATTGCTGACTTTATCCGCAAGCATAATGTTAACCATAGGACATGCGACTTACAAGAGTGCCTAAATTATGCAGAACATGCAGCAACCCAGATCAAAGAAAAAAGACATAAGAAAGCGTCAGCATCAGCTTTCTTCATAGGAGAAGAAGGGGAAGAAAATCAGATTTTATTTGTGGGACCAGGACAGGGGAGAGGCGGGTTTAACAGAGGACGAGGGAATGATAGAGGAACAGGCAGAGGCAGAGGAGGAGGCAGAAACGCAGAAGGCAAATTCCTCTGCTACAGGTGCGGAAAGGAGGGGCACATGGCGAGAGACTGTGAGGAACAGAGACCACAGAACAAAGAAGGGGGACAAAAGGGACAGTACAAAGACGAAATACATGGCCCCCCCCCTTCACATAATCTACATCGTTATGACAACTGACTAGACGTAGAAAAGGAAGAAGAGGACGTCCACACACATCACATTGACCTTTCTGAAGTATTACTGAATCTGTCAGACAACAGTATTAAACCTACCAGGACAATCGAAATCAATGGGGAAAAATTAGAATTCTTATGTGACAGCGGTGCAGACTCATCAGTAGTGAAAAAAGAGGTCCAAAGAATGTGGCCACCAACTGACACTATGTTTGTAAAATCAGCAAATGGACACATAAATCAGAGGTCGATTTCAAAGCCACTTTTTATGGAAGATAGAAGGTCAGGCCTCCAGGCATCCCTCAAATTTGTGTTCATCTCAAACTGCCCTGTCAATTTGCTAGGGAGAGACGGCATGGAAATGCTAAAAATCAGTGTAGTACCAGTCAAAGGGGGAATGCGAGCAGTAGGGCCCGGAGAAAAGGTGGAAGACCAGGTCTTCCTTCAAAAATCCATAAACACCCCCAACTACT